CGCTGGGGCGAGCGCGTCGTCGAGCCGATGCCCCGAGGAGCCGCCCCGGCCGCGCGGCTCCCGCCTCAGCTCTGCCGTGGTGGTGCCCGGGAAATCGTATTAATTACGCACACATCTGCTTTCACTTGCAACAGCTATACACATCGCTTCTAGCCTCTGGAGCTGCTGAAAAGCACTTCAAAACCTCGTATTTCAGAGACTCAGAAATAGGAAAGCAAACAAAACAAGTCAAGCTGATTTATTATAAGGAATAAAAAAACCTGAAGGTTTATATGCCCGGCTTGGGGACCTGACTAATGATTTTAATGCTCGAAGTTGGCAACAGCGGGAACTGCTCCTAATAAAAGTTTCCTGGTAGAGCTGCAACCATTATTCTTTGACTAATATATCTTAAACCAGTTTCCCAAAAGGAATAAGCTACAGTGGTAAAAAGGTGTCTTTATTTGCCAGCGGATGCTCTGGCTCTAGCGCTCAGCCCTGTCTCTGCAGGTGGGGTCACAGGAGCCGCACACCCCGGCCCCACACGTCCCACCCCGGCCCAGCCGCGGGCTCGGGGCTGAGCTCACGCCGGAGAACTGGGGACTTCTGCTGCTCCCCCCGGCCCCCGATTTACTGAGCCCCCAGCAGAGCTGCCTCTGCAGGAGACGGCCGGTGCTGTCCCCAGCAGTCGCTTCGGGATCACCCAGAAAAAGAAATGCTGAAGAAAGCGTCTGTATCAGCGACCTTGGCGTAAACAAAGTCCCTATTTCCTGGGGTCCCACAGGAGGCGCCGCTTCCCTTCCCGGGGGCACAGGGAGCAGGACGCGACATCCGGATGGACCAAACGCTGCAGAAACGGGACAAGCGCCTTGGCCAGCCCCCGCGGAGCAGCCGAGGGACGAAGCTTTCCCGGGATGTTCCTGGAGCAAGGGCTGGGGAGGCCGGAGCCCCAGGCCCATCACACCCCGCTCCCACCGCTGCCCCATTAAAAGGTTTTTGCAGCGTGGTGGGGTGCCAGTACACTGGAAAACAACTGTTCAGGGGGTTTTCCGCTGTGGGCAGGACTGTCCCAGCTCTCATGAATTCTGACTTGCAGTTTCCTGCTCTGGATTTACCCCTGAGCCCACCAGCATTTCAGAGCACCAGATTTACGACCTGCAGGAGTAATGAGTTACACCAAGGAGATGCTGCCCTTTCCTTTTGAAAAGGTTCCTCGGCTCCTTCCCGCTCAGCCCCACGCGATAAACAGCGAGATGGAGGCCAGGCCCCGGGGGGAAAAGCCGCTTCCAGACGTACAAGACAACTTTTCTGCTTTTCTGCGATCCCAGGCCCGTGCAGCCCCCGCCCGGCTCTGCGGGACAGGGAGCGCCCCAGTTACACTTTCTCAAGTCAAACAGATCCCCCGGACAGTGACAGATCACAGATGACTCTGTAGGTGCCAGCAAAATTAATTCCCTCCAGCAAAAAAGGCGGCAGGACAGATACTCTCCCAGAGAAGCATCAGAAACCAGAACCTCATTCCAAGCACTAAAAAAGTAGGAATGTTTATTAAAAGAGTTACACGACAAACACACCCTGAGCTCCCGCTCAGCACTTCACACCCTCCTGAACGCGGATGGTGGCATTTACTTGGGAAGCCACATGCAATATTTTCATTATATCAAGAACAATTTTCCCTCAGAACAAAGTTAACGATCCCACTACAGCATCACGTGCAACTGCTGTGACTGTGACCCCAAAATGATGCTAATTCCTCTAAATAAATATTTTTACACGGAGCTGCCTATCGGGTTGTGGCTTACGCAAGTATCTTCATCCTCACGGGAGCCAATTAACCTTACAGTGTCTTCAACGTTGTCGAGAATCTTGAACCAAGTTCAGAAAAGAAAAATAGATCGTGCCAGTCTCAATGTTCCATCCTTGCTGGTCTTTCTTCTCCCTCTCTGCCCAGAAGGAGCCCCCCGTGCCTTGTACTCCCCAGCTCACACAAGAATCACCAGCAGGCCCTGAAGAAGCACAAGGAGCGACACATCCACGTTACTTCCCAACCTGGGGGGACGCTGGTTTGCCAAGCAACACCCAGAGAACAGAAAACCCTCTGGCAAAAAAATCCTCACGCCAAATTTGTACTGAGGAGGGCACAGTGCCCTTGGGGAAGTGTCAGAGAACATCCCAGCTCCTCTGGGACCTCTGCAGGATGCACAGGGCTGGAATTTGGGGCGATTTGAGACACTTTGAATGGTGCCACTCGGAAGGGCTTGTCGGACCCCCTGGACCTGCACCAGCGCTGCTCACACGGAGCTCTCCAGGAAGGAAAGGCACCTGGGGGGGACCTGAACCTGCCCCAGCGGGGCTGAACGTTGCTCACTGCCCACCCGGTTCGAGAACGCTCGCGGGCTTGAAGGACTCAGGCAGCATTTTCTGCCCTGAAGGTCAGACAGAGCAACCCCTTCTGGCTTAAAACCTCCGGCTCTGGCACACTCAACCACCACCGGCAGGGCCCTGCTGCAGGAGCCACCTGCTAGAAACTGCCCCAGCGACCGGCACCGGTGCCCTGCGGCAGGAAACGGCCTCAGCGAACACTTACCACTAATATCCGAATATCCACCTTTATCAAGGGAATGCCCAGCACGTTTGGCAGAGGGATCCCGACGCCCAGAGCACCTGCAGGGGACAGACAGGTCCTTACCCCCCCGGAGGGGTGAGCCCAGCTCCGCCCCACGACAGCTGCTCCCGGGGGGCTGAAGGGAGCAGAGCACGGACGATGTGGTTTGCTTTTCCTCACGTTCTCAGCCACCAGCTGTTGCCAGGGCCCTTAGGACTGAAGCTGGGGTGGATGGTGTAAGAATAAAGTTGGGATTTTAGCTACAGCCTCACAGTGGGGACCGCAGACCTTCAGCCACTCCGACCCTCCCGACTGCCTTCAGTCACGCGCACACCCCCCTCTGCCCTCCTCCAAGCCCTCCCAGGTTAGGGCCGTCCCGCGCGCCTTACCGTTGACAAGGGGCAATAACGCTTCAGCCAGCAGACTGCTGCAGTGGGGCTTCAAGTCCGAGATCTGAGCCAGAGAAGGAACAAGCGTGAGCGGCGCTGGCAGGAACCCGGCAGCAGCCAGCGCAGCGGCGGGAGGCAGCCAGAGCTCGGGGCTGGAAACCGCTTCCCCACCGACAGCAAAAGAACAAATAGCCCCTCTTTTCTTTAATGCAAATCCACTTCTCTTCCTCGATTTGTATTTGGTGCTTCCTTTGGGAAACCCTCTACCAGGTAAAACTCCTGCCGGAGCGCCGCGTAAGCTTTGCCCAAGCAGGGGGTGAACAAACGCTTCGGGCTTTACACTTCGTTACTGGAAAAGGCAGAAGGAAAAAGAGAAGCAGCAAAGGAAGAATCGCTACGGCCCACAAAGCAGAGCAGCTGGCACCCGCGCCATCGGCACCCAGCGCGGCCAGGACGGTCACACTCCCCGCGCCCGCGCGTCCCCCGGGCTCGGCCCTCCCCGCCCAGCGACGCCCAGACCGGCACGAGACTCACGTTACTGATGCCAACGTCGGAGGACTCCAAGGAGAGGGAAGTGCTGCAGGGAAGGGAAGCAAACGGCCCGTCAGACACCCGAGCTCAGCCCAGGGTCCCTGCCAGCAGCCGCCGGGGGGTCCGCGGAGGGCCCGCGGCAGCGAGACACAAAGAGCTGCCACCGCTGCGCCCGCCGGAGGGCAGACAACGGGAAAACAGAAGCTTCACCTAATTTTTATTTGCTTGTAAATGAAACAGCACTGCAAGGGGGCACACAGCAGCTCCTGGCTTCCCTTCCCTCTCCTGGTACTTACTCATCCTAGGAAAGGAGTCACAGAGCTTCTAGAAAAACCATCCAGTCCGGACTTAAAGATCGTGAACTCCGGAGAATTTGCTACAGCTCCTCGTCTATCACTGCAGTCAGAAACTGCCTCCACAGCTAAAGCGTTTGCTTTATTTCCACTTTGAATTTCTCCTCTCTGCTTCTCCTGGATCTTGTTACGTCTTTGTCTATTGAAGTAAAAGCCCTTTGATGCATTTCTCCTCTCTCTATCGCTGCATACATGCTAGGCCAATTTTGCTTCTAAATCTAGCTCTTTGACAAGCTAAATGGGTTGAAATCCTCAAACCTCACACTATAAGGAATGCTTTCCAATCTTTAATCATACCTTGACTGGCATTAATGACGGTACTTTCCTTTACTCCTTTATCACTCATGTCCGATATCAGACATTGCAAACTACTGCCCAGGATCAAAGTCAAGCTGACACTCTTACAATTATTCAGGTTACATCATTTCTCCTTGTTATAAAACTGACAGAGACTTTTCTTCCAGCCTCCTAAAACTTTCCCGCTGCTGCAATGTTTCCTGAGAGTCAGCGATACCTTGTCCACCTCATGCCATCGGCAGGGCGTGAGACATTCCCCGATTCAGGAAATGATTCGTCTCTTTTACAGACTCTGACAAACATTTTGTTGGTGGCTCCGGAACGAACGTCTCAGTGCAGAGAACAGCCCCGGCCTGTAACGTCGTTTGTTCAGCACTCCCGGTCCCTCCGCCGGAGCTCAGGCAGCTCCGGATCACCGAGGGGCACAGCTACAGCCCGTCCTGCCCCCGCCCGGCCGCTGCTGCCCAGAAAACTGAGCCTGTGCTCAGCCGGAGCTCCCAGCGCAGCTGAACGGCCAGGGCTGCCTCGGGAGTGGGCTGGGTCCAACACCCCGCGCTCAGCCTGCCTGGTGCCCAGCCTAACCGGTGCCCAGCCTAACCGGTGCCCAGCCTAACCGGTGCCCAGCCTGCCCAGTGCCCAGCCTGCCCAGTGCCCAGCCTACCTGCCCAGGGACAAGCCCAGCACCAGTCGGCCTCCGGCAATGGACACGCGGGTGTTCAGGACGAGGTCCTGCGAGCAGACAGGGAGGGGGTCAGCCCGCGGAGACCCCCCAGCCCGGCTGCCAGCCCCTCTGAGCTCCTCACAGCCACACTTACGGCCTTCAGCAGCAGCAGGTTGAGGGTGGAGCCATCTAAACTCTTAACGAACACCTGAATCACGACCGAAAGCTCGACAGTGGCTTTGTTTTCTTCCAGGAGGATGAGCGGGTTCCCAGACAACGCCAGCTTGATGCTCAGAGGACTGGTCCCGGAGCAGGCGGAGCACTGCGGGAGCAGGGGAGGCAGGGGTGTGGGCACCTGCACCCCTCACGCCGGCCCAGCAGGGCACCGGCAGCCCTGCGGTGGGCTCACAGCCCCGTAACCCCGCAGGGCCTCCCCCGAGCTCACACAGACCTTGGCCCCACCGAATTTACTGAGCAAACAGGTCGGGCAGCAGGGACCAGCACTCCCTGCTGCAGGCAGCGAGGGGCTGAGGAAGCAAAGGTGGGCACTGGGGGTAAGAGGACGCCCAGGAAAGGGGAGATGCCAGACACTGCTCAGCTCTTTCTCTCGAGCTGTGAGAGAAGACATTCCCCTGCTTAGGGAGCAGGGGAAGGTTGGCTACAGCCGAGGGCACAAAGCAGAGCCAGCACCGGTTGTGCGTGCTGGCACAAACGCCCAGCCCCTCCCGGGCTCAGCTGGGCAGCCTCGAGCTGGGCTCCTGGTGTGAGCTCAGCACGGCCAAGAGGAGGGGGCAGAGGACTGGAGACCTCCGGCAGCAGCACAGCGGCACATCCAGGCGCGTCCCTCGGACGGCCTTGGGCCTCTCCACAAACCCTGGCGCCAGCAGAGGTGACTCACCCCGGCGGGGATGAGGGTCGTGATGGCCTCTTGCAGGTGCCTGGCACCGGAGAACTGTTGGAACAAAAGCACGAGCAGCCCCCGTGAGCACTCCAGAGGACTTCAGCCACCCGTCCTGCCGCCCCCGCCCCTCTCCCACTGGTGTCCCTGTTCCCTGCCAGCTTGTTGGCGCTCCTGGGGCCAGTCCCCGAGCCCTCATCCACCCCGTGAGGCCCCAGGCAGCACCCCGAGCCCTCTGCCTTCACCGCTCCCAGCTGCCCCGTCAGGCAAGGCGAGAGCAACCAGCGGCGGCCGGGATGTAACCCCGAGGCTTTCAGCCTCTGTCAGCACGCAGAGCGCTGGTGTTTCCCAGCGGAAGCACAGGCTGGAGGTAGGGAAGATGCACACACCCAGAGAATCACATTGCACATAAGTGGCTTTTCTCAGTGACATTTTGCGGACTCCTTGTAACAGATTACAGACCTGGGGGTGGCCCTACAGAAACGAGAAGCGCTGATCATTGCACGAGCTACTACAGCTTTCTGAAGAGAGCAGTAAGGAGCAGTGCAGTGCTGGGGCCTGGAGCACCTGCAAGTGAGCACGAGCACCCAGGCCCGGGGCAGCTGCGCACGCCGCGTGTGCCAGACCCTGCCCGCACCCTGCACCGGGCACGAAACGCTGCTGCTGCCGCCGCACTCACAGCTTCCGACGTGC